AGGAATTGTGTGAGACCACATCCACGGGGATTGGATCCGGCGCATCCTCAGGGTTTTGCGGTGGTACATCGATGCCTAGAATAGCTACATCATTCTCTCCATGGTCCTTAAGACCATTATTTTTCATGTGCATTCACTGAGTTAGACATTTTGACCTGAAATAAAAAATTCTTGGACAAGAAAAAGTGTAAAGAATAACTTGCGTTATTTAGTAAACCAGCACAAAAACAACCACTATTATTTTTAGCCCCACGGTGGGCGCTAAACTGTTTACCTCGAAAATAGTAATAACAATTAGATTTGATTTTGTCGTTCTAAAAATACGTGATTTATTTTAATTCTAGTTGTTAAGCAGTAGATGCTAGGTGTGAAACTAGAAAATAAGATAAGAGCTTAAAGATAGCGTGATAAGCAAATCGAATGATCGAGAATCGGGGTTTCGAGTTAGACTACACGGGGCCTCAGGGTCGAGCTAAGCTTTAGGCTGTGGACGGCCGATGAAGAACTTAACAGTTCTGAGAGCTTTAATGAGAGCTCTTTATGATTAATGATGAGTAGTAAATGAATAACAATAAATGAAATGCAATAAATGTAGGTAATAAATCTGAGGAAAGACAATAGAGAGTGTTTAAGTTAGAGAGCAGAGAATGTTCTTGTATTGAATATCATCCCCCCTTACAAAATGACAAGGGTACCCTTTATATAGGAGGGAAAATCCCAACATAGTACATATGCATTTATTACAAAGGTATGCGGCTGATACATCCATTTAATGTCACGGTATGGGCTTGTGCTAGCCCAATAGACTTGGTCAGCTTTATCACATGACTTGGGAGTCTCCCACTCGTTTATCATAGCCGCCGATTTGCTCTGCCCCGAGGTCGAGCATAGGGAACCCTCGGGGTCGATCATCGAGCTGGGCCTCGGGCCTTCTGAAGACGGTCTATGGGATGTAATAATGATCATAAAATCGGGCTCTCCGATTTTAGCCGTATAAAAAGAGTTATTGAAAGTTTGGAGATATAATGAAGATTAAGGAGCGAAGGATTAGAGTATTTATAGGGGCTAGTAGTGCGCGTTGCGGAAAGCCAAAAGACGGCCAACTGTCGTAATCAATTCGAGGCCTTTAAAAAACCATGTGAACGTGGCTTGTGAACATCCCCTTTTGTCACACCAATCACTTACATGACATAACTGACGTAATGATGGAGGTAATGAAGAGTTGAAGAATTCAAATCGTTCCTTGTTATTTCATTCCAAGAAACGTGGGGACTATATGTATACGGTCAAAATCAAAGAAGGCCGATAAGAAGGTAGCTTCTATGACGTTTCAAGCCCGACTTCGATGGGCTCCAAAACACAGTCTAAGGTTCGTCCCTGAAGTACTCGCCTCGAGAGGATATATCGAAGACTCATCACGGCGTACCTCGAGGCAGCCTGAAAATCGGCGACCGTCATGGAAAGTCGGGAACTTCCTAAAGGCACGTGATTAAAACTAACAAAGTCTGCTAGAATAGTACAAATCCGTACTGAACCACTATACATCTGTACCAATAGCATTCCTTGTCATTATTAGACATGTAATATGTTGGAATTTTCCCTTTCTATATAAAGCGGACCCTTGTCATTTTGTAACACATGAATATTCAATATAATAGAATATTCTCTGCTTTTCCTGCCTAAACGTGCTCAATAATTACTCTACAAATTTATTACTTGTTCATTTATTGTTCCTCATCAATTGTGTTCATTCATTGTTCTTCATTTATTGTTCTTTATCATCCTTTAAAGGCCGCCTTCGAGTTCCTATATCACTAAGCTCGAGGCCCTCAATCTTGTAACCACACTGGGTTGCTTATCACTTCTCGCTTATTTACACTTAGCATTATTCACATAGCAACTAGTATTAAGTTAAATCACGTATTTTTAGAACCACAAATCAAATATAATTGTTATTACCATTTTCAAGGTATATATATATATATATATTCTTTACATATTTATAGTTTTCTTCAATTTTTATGCAATTTTATATGCTTATAAATATTTACTGTAATTATATTATTTTATAAAATATTAAAAATTAAATACCTATAGGTTTACGCCTCGCTCAGGCATATGTAAAACGTCTTGTCTTTTGCCCACACCTTCTAAAACACTGGCCCTATCAGTTCCTGGTCAGGGCCGATCGAGGCTGCCTATGGGTCGGGGGGCTGGTTACTTTAGAGAAATGGTTGTCTGGCCCACCCTTCGTATCCGTCGAGGGGTTTAAGTGGCTGTATCGGGCCTATTATTATTTTGTTCTGTTACTAAAATTGACATTCACATAAGCTATAGGCAATCATTTTGATGTTGAAATCTATTTTTTTGCATACTATTTTATATATCAAAAGATATGTTGTACCACTTTGAGGGAAGTGTAAATTGAATAGAAAAATGATTGTCTTTTTCGAAATTGCCTCAGTCAATGTCCACCTAAATCTCAAAAAACATACGAAATAAAAAAATATTTACAACTCCCTTTATGCCTATTGATAGTTTATCTTATTGACTTATGATTAAAAATTTTGAATTAGATTAGATTAAATAATTATATAATATTATATTAGGCTACAAAATTAATTTAATGATAATACAAAAAAAAAAAATTACTACCGGGTCCGTGGTCTCGGTGGCTGAGACTCGAGACCCGAATTCCAGTCCTTTCTTTTTCGGGTTGGACATGGGCCAGCCCAGCACAGTTGACAGGTTTATTCAACAATGCGATTGTATGACACGAGAGATCTCTTAAATCAAATCTGGATTATTCAAAGAAAGATTCTAGGAATGATTATATAAGAAAATATTGATATTATAAGGAATCTATTTTTGTTATGTGGGGTTGCCAACTTTGATACAGTCAAAGCTTTGTCCGGATATCTTTGGCTGATAAATTTGTAAAAAAAATTATGTATAATTTTATACTCGCTCCATTTCAATTTAGGTGAATTCATTTGATTCGGCACGAAGTTTAAGAAAAGGGAGAAGACTTTTAATCTTGTGATGTAAAATGAGGCACATATATTTTGTGTGGCTATAAATCATCGTGTAAAGGTAAATTGTTTCCAAATAATGGAAAGAGGTCATTCTTTTTGGCACAGACTAAAAAGGAAATAGGTACACATAAATTGAAACGAAGGGAGTATAAGATAAATGAGGTGTATGAATATATGCATTAGCCATAGTTAATTACTACTCCTTATCCCAAGTTTAATTATTTCGAAATTAGGTATTCCGGGATTAGTTATTCTATCTTTTCATAAGAATAAAAAAGTATTCAATCCCGAGATAATTAATTCCAGTACTAATTATACCAAAATTTTCTCCCAACGAAATATGAAATAAATTCTTTTTAAATTTAATCACGTGACTAATTATTCCTTATCTCTCATACCAAACGAGCCCAAAGTGAGTCAATGATGCCTTTGTTGGACTTTAAGCCATTGGGCTTTAAAAGAGAAGAAGTGTGAATTGGCAATTGAGGGAAATAAAATGGAGGGAAAATGAAAATTTGAAGAAATGAACTTTTGTCATGCAGTTTGTCCCTTATTGGTGAGGGACAATCACATTTATGTGCTTATATATAGATTCACTTCTTAAAGCTCTTGAAAGGAGTTGAAGAGAATGAACCCTCGCGCCGTCGTCGTCGCTCGCTCGGCTTCGGCTTCGGCTTCGGCTTCGGATTTGTCAAATGATCGATAAGATTATTTTTGGACAAAATTTATATAATTATTTAATAATTAATTAAATGCCAAATCATTGATGAACGTTCAAAGGGCCTCGCTGGTCGCGGTTCTGCCGCGACCGCGGTAGAATCGCGGCAGTCAGATTCAGAGAGGCTCTCTGGCCGCGGTTCGGCCGCGATCGCGGTAGAACCGCGGTAGGCCGCGTATTTTCTGAAAAGGCACCTTTCCAGACACCTCTTCTGATATTTGCCTATAAATTCTGAGGCAAGGCTGCATCTTCCAGACACGAAAAACACTCTAGAAGTTCTTTCTTTCTGAATATACTGCATCCTAATTCGTAGTCTCTCTCTCTCAAATTCGTAAGTGTGTTTTTGCTCCGTTCTTTGAGTTCGTTGGTATCCTGCAGTTTGTATTGCCACTGTTGCAGGAAGGTTTATTCCGTTTTATCCTGGGAGGATTTAATCCATTACCTTGGCAACGTGTGAGGGGGTTAAAATTCCTTAAGGACGCACAAGAAAATTGTGGACTTGAAATATTTCTGATTCTTTACTAGTTTATATATTTCTTTATTCTTCTAACAGTTTTCTGATTTTTCTTTCAACTCAGTATCGTTCACAAACAAAAACACTTTAACCATATACAAATGAACATTTTGAAAACTACTTACTATATATATTTTTTAATTTATGTATCTACATTACTATTTGAGGAGTTTAAAAGATTCATTTTTCAAAATATGCAAAAATGTAAATGATTATGACTTGTAATAATTTATATGCAGTTTTAAATATGCAAAATTATTTTAAAAAACTTGAAAAATTTATATCTAATTTCATGGTCAAAATTAAGAACTTTGACCATCTTACTCGGAATCAAGTTATAATGCTAAAAGATTATTACTTCTTCCGTTTCAATTTAGATGATACATTTCGCTTATCGAAAGTTAATTGGACCAAACTTTGAAGCTTAATTGCATTAGTTCAATTTAATATTTTAAAATTAAAATTTAAATAATCAAAATTATATGATAAATATTATAAGTTACAATTTTATTTTTATCAATAAGATAAAAAATTATATTTTAAAATATTGGTCAAACTTTACTCCAAACTCAGGAATGTGTCGTCCAAATTGAAAATTGAAAGGGGGAGTAATAAATACATAAGCAAGTGGTCATTAAAAAACATATATCAACTGGCATATATATGCCAGATGTCAGTTCCAGCAATACATAAAATATGTTTCAGCAAACCGGCTGACCAGTTTCCCAGTCACCAATACCTTTTCAACCTCAAAACCACCATTAAAAAACCTCACACAAACCACGCACAAACAAAAATATTAGTCGGCGCAGGTTCAACATCTACATATATAATCACAAAATCTCATTTTTATCAGTCCAAAGAATAAGAAAACATGAAGAGAGCAGTAGAAAATGAAGGAGAAGAATTTAAAGGGGTGGTTAGTCTTGAACTACTGAAGAAAAAAATGGCTGATTTTGCAAAAGAAAGAGAGTGGGATCAATTCCATACTCCAAGAAATCTCCTTTTAGCACTGGTTTGTACATATCAAACACTTTTGTTTTAACTTTTATTATTTGAACCTTTTTTTAATTGTAGAATGAAGCATTTTTGGTTATGTAGGGTAAGGTTGGTACATAGTGCAACTTTGTCCTCTATGTGTTTTTTGTCCGTGTGTTTGTTTTTTTTCTGTTATGCTTATTTCTGGGGTTTTATTATATCATGTTTATTTAGCTTTTTGTCTCACAAAAATGGTGTGTTCTTTGTATTTTATGATTTCTTGATTTTATTGTTTACCATCAGATGTTCTCTCACTATTATCCGTTTCGGTTTTCTCGGTATCTTGCTTTTTTTATTTTTTTCGGTTAGTGTCTATCGAAAATAATATCTTTAATTTTTCAAGATGGGCTAAGTTCTGTATACACACTATCCTCCCTAAACTCTACTTGTGGATCCACTGAGTTTTTGTTATTGTTGCTGTACCGAGTCATTTTTTTTTAATAATCATGCGATTCGAATAAGCTTCTGCGTACCTTGGACTAATTTTAGAGCTACTTGCTATCTCCCAAATTCATTCACTCTGTCAATCAAAACTTGGAATATAGGAAAAAATGACCTAATCTTTTTGCCGCCGTTAAAACTTGATGGTGTATATCGAGTTATTAGGTTATATTCTGTGTTTTTTTGGTGTAATAAGCCAATTTTGATAATTTTTGCTTTTGCCTTTTGAGCCAAGCGTCTCCCGGAAATCGCCTTTCTACTCCTTCGGTGCAAGAATAAAGTTTGTGTGCATTCTACCTTTCTCAAACTTCACTTGGTGGGATTTTACTGGTTATTGTTATTGTTGATTTGCATATAGCTAGTTGAATCAAAGGATAGTTGTGTTTTTCACTGGAATTAGTAATGGCCAAGAAGGAAAGTTGGAGTCTTTGAAAGCTCAAACCAGTTTTCTGTATTTGACAAAAGCATGAAACAAAGGGGTCGTTTGGTAGGGTGCATAAGAATAATGCTGAATATGGTGTATTAGTAATGCTGATATTAGTTATGCTTGCATTAGTTATACTGGTATTAGTTACGATGACATATTTCTTATCCATTGTTTGGTTTGATGTATTAAAGCATTACACAATTTTTTAAAGAATTGTTTGTTTACAAAAATATCCTCAAAACCAGTCCATCACTCTAAAACTTTTTAAAAGAAACAAATGTTGAGAAATATTTTTATATGAAAAAGTTTAAAAAAATTATTTGATTTGTCTACCTATTGTAATATAGAACTAAATATTTATTTATAAAAAAAGAAATATGCTAAGTATTTATTTATTTACTAGATATATAATTTTATTTTTCACTATTTGAATTATTTTAAACTTGTATTAATATAATAACTAACATATTTTAATCAAGCATAAATTTTGAAGGACAATTTTGTCTTTAACTACGCTATGCATGCATTAAAATCCGTTGCATCGCTAATACCATGGTTTTCTATGCATTAGTTATGCATAGGATAATACCAAATAGGATGTATAACTAATGTTTGCATAACTAATGCATAAGTTTAAAATATCTACCAAACAAGGTATTATTAATACACAAGGCTAATGCAAACGACCCCAAATATTATTTTACCTAATGCATCCTACCAAACGACCCCAAAAAGTCATCTTTCTTTTTCTTGGAAATATATGTGGGTTTTGGATATCATGTCATTGTTGAGGATTTCTAAATTTGTGAAAGCCCCAGAAAAAGCTTTCTTTTTTCCCTCAGTTTTCTTGGTAACCAAACAAGGCAGTACTAATTGTGTTCCCTAGAATGTAATTATAGCATTGCTGTCAAAATATGAAAAGTAGTGCAACACTTGCACTAAAACTGATCAGTTACCATAAAATACTGCAGCAAGGGAAAAAAGCATAACATTGATTGATTGAATAAAATGTTTCTTAACTTTTATACATGGACAGTGTAAAGAATTTTTAAAATATTTATAAATTAAACAACGATTGTAGTAAGCAACTTGAAAAAATAGGATAATTAATTAGGCACACGCTAAACTATACTAATAATATAAACTAATTTAGTATCAGTTTGTATAAATTTAATCCTTTGATAAATAGCTTGGTGTCTTTTATCACTGTATGTTGCTGCGGTTTCATTTTTCGTTTTTCTTGAGTCGAGGATCTATTGAAAACAGTCTCTCTATCCCTTCAAAATAAGGGTAAAGTTTGCGTACAGATTAAATTTTTCTATTCCACTTGTGGGATTACACTGGATTTGTTTTATAAATAGCTTGGTGTCTTTTGTTACTGTTGCTACCGCTTCTTTTTTCATCTTTTCTTGGTGTCTTTTCATTTTTATATCAACTACAGGTTAAAGAATTTTTAGACTTTTCGTTGATTAAACAATAACGGTAGTGGAACTTGGAAAATAGGATAAACAGTTAGGCACACGTTAAACTATACTAATAATATAAACTAATTTAGTGTTAGTTTCTACTAATTAAATCCTTTGATAAGTAGCTTGGTGTATTTATTACTGCCTGTCGCTATGGTTTCTTTTTTCATTTTCCTTGAGCCGAAAGTCTATATGAAACAGTCTCTCTGCCTGTTCAGAACAGGGGTAAGGTCTACTTACACACTAACCTCCCAAGACTAGAGACATGCCTGTCGCTATGGTTTCTTTTTTCATTTTCCTTGAGCCGAAAGTCTATATGAAACAGTCTCTCTGCCTGTTCAGAACAGGGGTAAGGTCTACTTACACACTAACCTCCCAAGACTAGAGACATGCCTGTCGCTATGGTTTCTTTTTTCATTTTCCTTGAGCCGAAAGTCTATATGAAACAGTCTCTCTGCCTGTTCAGAATAGGGGTAAGGTCTACTTACACACTAACCTCCCAAGACTAGAGACAGACCTAGGATCTTTTATGAGATGGGGGCACCATTAATTTTTTTTAATCAATGCCCCTTAAATATATTTTAGTGTTTAGAGTGCCAAATTATATATATTTTCATATTTTAAGGTATACACACACAAGGATTTTGAGAAATTTATGGGGTCCGGCGACCCCTCAATGGTATGCGTAGGTAAACTCTATTTGTGGAATTACACTGAGTTTGTCGTTGTTGTTATTGTAGTATAAATAGCTTGGTGCTGATGATGATGAAGAATTTGGTATTTGGTTATTTTAATGCATGTTTGTTTTTGAATACTACTAGGTGGGTGAAGTGGGAGAATTGTCTGAAATATTTCAGTGGAAAGGTGAGGTCCCAAAAGGCCTACCAAATTGGGAAGAAAAAGAGAAGCAGCATTTAGGTGAAGAGCTCTCAGATGTATTGCTTTATCTTGTCAGGCTTTCAGATATCTGTGGCATTGATCTTGGTAAAGCTGCACTCAGAAAGCTTGAGCTTAATGCCATTAAATACCCTGTTAGCCTTTCCAAAGGTTCATCCAAAAAGAGTACTACTCTTTTGTGCAAAAGTACAACAACAACCTCCACCAACATCAACATCAACAATGAGAGTGAAAATGGTGTGACTGATGATGCTGCATGATCTTATTTAATTTCTTTTGTCTATTGTTTTTTTTTTCTTTTTCCTTTTTGAAGGAAAGTTTTGGCATAACTGGTAAAGTTGCTGCCGTGTGATCAAGAAGTCACGAGTTTGAGCCGTGGAAACAACCTTTTTGCAGAAATGTAAAGCTAGGCTCCATACAATAGACTCTTATGGTCCCCCTTCCCAAATTCCCTGCCCGCATCGCAGAAGCTGAGTGCACAAGACTGCCGTTTATTAGCGTCTTTTTTTAGTTTCTTAGACTTGCTATGACACCTACTAGTTTTGGTACTAAAGTGGGATAAAAGTGTTGATATGAGGTAAAAGTTACCAAACTTTGGTTTTTACCTTGTGCACGTTCCCTTTGACTCATGGTTAATACTATATTTTCTCAGACAAATGTGTTGAGATTTGTGTATTACTAGTACTAATATAGTTGGTTTTATGCTTTATCCATGTTCCCTTTGCTATTTGGTTAATGAGTAGTACTATTTTCCTCAAGACAAATGTGTTGAGATTTGTGTAGTATAATAGTATTCTCTCCATCTCAAATTATATTTTGCGTTTATTTTTTATATCCCTTTTAAGAAAATATTAATTAGATGGAGTTTGGCTATTTTATCCTTATTTATGTCTTAGATATTATCTCATCATTGAATATATAATTTATTTATGTGCTATGTTTATCTTCAAGAACAATTACTATTAAGGATAAAATTAGAAAAAAATAATTAATTTTGTATTGAACTTTTGAAAGGAAAGATAATTTGAGATAATTATTTTAATAATCATGACAAATAATTTAAGACGGAAGGAGTAATATTAGACGGAGTTTGGCTATTTTATCTTTATTTATGTCTTCGATATAATCTCATCATTGAATATATAATCTATTTATGTGCTATGTTTATCTTCAAGAACAATTACTATTAAGGATAAAATCGGGAGAAAATAATTAATTTTGTATTGAACTTTTGAAAGGACAGATAATTTGAGACAACTATTTTAATAATCATGACAAATAAGGGAGTAATATTAGTAATATGATAGTTTGATGTTGGAAAATGATAAATTGGTGAGTCCCAGTGGCTGTCTTGCATGAATGTGTTTTTTCCTTTAGTTTTTCTCTTGAGTTTAAGTACCACATAACATAGTTTTTACATTTTTTATAATTATAATTATATTTTTCTTTAGCCGACTATTTATAAAAAATAATTTTTCTATCCTTTCAAGTAGGGGTAAGGTCGGCGTACAGGGATAGAGTGACATTTATTTATTGTGTCATTTAAATCCTTTCTATTTTTGTTTTGTTTATGACTGAAGAGACAGATGGCGTGACTTGTTTCTGTGTGAAGGACATTGTGTGTGGCAAACAAATCTGCCTGACTGAATGGGTTTATTTGGTGAGATACTGTGCAGTTTAATATGTTTGGCTGCTTCTTTTTTTGTGGTAGGGTTTCAATAGAGTTCAGTATTGAGAAAAATCCAAATTTGGCATATTATGTCCCCAAAATCATGCCAAAAACAAAGCGTAGGAATAAGTAAACTTATACTCCCTCCGTTTCTAATTACACGAGATACTTTTCTTTTTAGTCTGTTAAAAAATAAATGATATATTTTTAAATTTAAAAATAATTCAACTTTAAACTCTTCATTTTACCTATTTTACCCTTAATGAAAAACTTTTATAACCACATAAATGTCATAACCCGATAAAGCTTTTACCCCTTAAGCTTTTAAGACCACAAGTTTTAAAAATCGATTTTTTTTCTTCTTAAAATCTGTACCGAATCAAACTAACTCGTATAAATTGAAACGGATTGTGTATCCTTTTTCTTTATTGTTGGAAATTAGAGTTATTGGTACTCAATGTGGGAGGAGATAGTACGTATAAATTAATCTTGGTGTGAGCACAAAATTGGTCAAATATCACTTTTACCCCGCGACAGANAAATGTTATTAAATAATGTGTGAGTTATTAAATATAAAAAATATAAGTTCCTAAAAATAATGAAAGTTAACAAAGAAATCCTACTCCACATAAGTCTTTATATGCCTTACTATGATTTATGATGAGTAAAATATCTTATAAAATTTATTGTTATTTTTGTTACCAAATACTATAAACAAATAACACAGAAAAAATACTTTTATTTTAATTACTCAAAGATAATAAAATAAATGAAAATTTTGAATCTTTTGGTCTTTTAGAAATTTGTGAGTGATGAGGTAGAATTATAGCTCCTAAGAAAATATTGATAAATAACAAAATACAGTCTTAAATAACTACTATTGAATTATAAAGAATAATAATACTATACTAAAAATATAAGAAAGCTATCATTTATTAGAATGAATATAAAAAGAAAGAAAAATAATAATGACAACTCTTTTGAATACCTTTTGTCTTATGTTACATCCTTACAGCTTGTTTAGATGGTTGTTTTATACCATTTTATAATGTATCGTATTGTATTATAGTGAAACATATTTCCATTGAAATTGCCGTAGGGTATACGAGGAAAAGAAAACGTAATATTACTCCTATTTTCCCAAATAATTACACGAAAATTATACAATATTTTGTTGTCCTTGGTTGAAAAGAAACTTGCCTTTTACTTTTTATATTCTCTTCTTTTTTCTCAATATATTTTACTCTTATTTAGTTGATTGCAAACTCCTAAATATTAGGTAATAATTCAAATTTTACTTGATTCTAACTTCCTAAATATTAGGAAAGTAACTTAAATTACATATTTGTCCAATGTGAAACTTATTTTAAAAGGGTAAAAAAAGCGAACGACATTTCGCGTTCGTACTTTTAATATATTATAGACTAGTCTTAGTGTACGTGCGTTGCACGTGTTTATCACGTCAATAATAAAATATTATTGATAATATATTTTTCCTCATATAAATAATATTAATATCGTATTTTAATCGAATTAAATAGTTTCTATTAAAAAATTTAAACTGAATATTAAATATTGTATCAACACAAATTGCTTCGTATTTATACAAAATTATAATTTTGGCACAACAAATAGAGTTAACGGTTATACTGTTTAAAGAATAATATTTTACTTTTTAATTTTTAATTTTTAATAGGTTATTAGGTCTTCATTGTTTCCTTCTTCTTTTTTTTTTGGTCTTATTGATATTTGATACGTTCTTTGCCTTCTATCTTTTCAACTTCAATTTTTATTGTACGAACTTTTATAATATCGTGTAACTCCTGTACTATTAAACGTCTTCCAAATTGATGCCCTCCATTTATTGTATTAAGTTTGAAAAGAAAGATAGAAATTTTATAATAAAATTTATTGTTGTTAAAAAGAAAGCATGTTAAGTACAAGTAAGAATACATATATAACTTTTTGAGAGATTAATTCTATATATTTTTTTTATTATCGCAACCAACCAAATAACATGTAGCTTCAGAGAATGCAGCGTTATTACTCATGTTTATTATCTTTAATATAAAACACCTCATATATTAAAAAATATCTGGAAAGTCATACGTAAATAAATTATTATTGTATTTATGAATATATTATAATAAAATTTTAATCTTGAATAATTTTTAACTCCTAAATATTAGGACTTAAGGCGTAATTCAATTCAATTAAATTCTAATTAGTTAATTAAAAAAGTAACTATTTGTTTTCAACATTAAAAAAATAAGTTTTTGCCTTTTTAGATTCTTATATTAGCGCATCCCAATTTTTAAATATAAGTGTAATTATGAAGGAAAATAAAAATATTTTTTATAGTATTAAACTTTTCAATAATAAAAAAAGAAAGAAAAAACAAAAATTAGTAAAGTAATAAGAATATGAGAGAACACAATAGTTGAACTCCACAAAAAATGTGGCAAACTACAAGAAGTTACCGACGAAAGATTTCGAGCACCAAGCGCTTGAAAGGAAAAAAGAACAAAATTTTCTTCATTTAATTCAGTTTGAATCAAATAAGGAAATTAATATTCTTTATAAGGTAAAATTTTAATTGATTTCAAAATTTAAATATTCGGAGAGTAGCTTAATTTACTAGTTTATCCAATCATTCTTATAGTTCGTGGCAGCCGTCGTGAGTGGTAAACTTCTTCTATTCTTCATTTGTGCAATCATGATATTTATTAATCATATTAAGTTGTTTTTTTCCCTGTTTTTGATATGTATATATGCTTTATGTGCTTTAAATCTTTTTGTGCCTCTGTTAATTTCTTCTTTAAAGTTTTAAAGAGATTAGTTCGAATGTATTATGCAACAAATCTGACAAAAATTTATCATTCATCAACAAACATTCTTCTTTATACGTTGAAAAATATATACTCCAACAATATTTTATAGACATTTAAAAGTTAGAAAGAATTATGCTATTTAAAGAAAGATGTTTAATTCGCCTTCTTCATAGTGATGTGTCTACCATTAAAATCAAATAGTACAATAAAAATTAATTTTGAAAAAAAGACACAACAAAATTTGCCCCGGAAAGAGATGAATATAGACAATTCGTGGGGGATATAAATTGTATCCCATATGACATTTACATGTAAGAATTCTAATTTACTTAACAAACAAAGTTCTTATTAATCTAAGCAATCTCATAATTTGGCACTTGGCAGAGATAAAATTTCTCCATTAATTAGAGATTCTAAAAAAACAGGATAGCAATATCTGAAAAAAGTAAACATAAAAATAATTTAGTGAAAATCGTACCTGAAGAAACGTTACATCAACGAATATAGAAGTGTTGAGACTCAATCTAAAGAAATGTCTCTAAGCAAGAGAAATTAACTACAAACATACATATGAAGTCCATAATTAAAACTGAAAAATATATAGATCAGAAACCTAAATAGATCCAAAATCATACCCCGCAAATTATAATTCTTCTTTGGTACCAATAAACAAAACAAAACTACAAAATAGATTAAAAATCAAGTAAATTTAATTTGTAAGTACTTATCTTGACCTTAGGTGCCTGAATTCTACCGTAGTGAGTCTTGCAACCACATATTTTCTTTATATAACTTGTTTGTACTTCGTCAGTCAACTATTAAGAGCAAGAGATCTTTAACTTCCATAAGAATCAAATAACTTCCTTGTATAAAATGTAGAAGTGTTAATTAATTAATGAATAAGCCCCGCAGAAGCAAATTTTCTTTATATAACTTGTTTCTACTTTGTTAGACAATTATTAGGAGTATGAGATTTGACTTGGGTAAAAATTAATTAATTTTCTTGTATAAAACTTAGAAATATTAATTAATTAATTAATTTAAGGAAATAATAATTAAGCTTTTATAAATTAAAGATGCAATGTATGTGAAAAATTGGGACTCATACGTAGTTAAAATAGGAAAATTATTTAATAGTCAATATTTTAAGTGATTCTAAACTCTTAAATATTAAGAAAATAATTAAATTACTATTTTATCGAATGTGAA